ATGAGGTTCTTCGTGAGCTTCATGAATCATGAGCTCTGGAGTTCCGGCCATCATCTTGGAGATGTTGTTCTGGCGGACAAATCTAGCGATGCGGGCATTGATGATTCCGGGACGGGTATTCATTTGTCAGCGAATTTCAAGGAGACTCCCTCCGGAGGGACCGTGCGTGAGTGGATGAAATTGTGCAATAAGAAATGTTGGAAGTCGTCCTCGCCACATGCTATCCTTTATGTTTGTCTGTTCGCTCGGACCAGTGACAAGTTATCACTCATCCCGACGTCACTCTTGGTCCGGCATTGAAGAAGGGCACTAGAAGACCGGGACGCCCAGGCTCTCAGAAGTGATGTTTGGGTTCTTCTTGGTTCGCATTCCTTCTTCCACCGGGTCTCAGCGGAATGATTCTCATCATCCTGAACACATTGAGGAAAGTTTTCGGTCCCGAACCTCACGTTGTTTGTTCGAGGACCGCGTACGAATCGATGCGCGATATCTCGCGCTTCCCAAACTTTGACCTGTAGGGCATCGGAACTCTGACCGGCTTCATGGCCGTCGGGAAGATGAGAACAAGAAGAACATCTACCTAATATTCGTCGGCTGATGTTCACCGGAAGCCGCCAACTCAGGGCGCTGGCTGATATTCTGGGGGCTCGGTCAACGCAGTACGGAAGGGGCTACCTATGCAATGGAGCGTTTCTCCAATCGGAGTTGCGCACATGAGAACAATCTTTCTCTCCGTGTTGAGCTTGTTTGGAGGTGGATTCGGAAGACTTCCGGGGATGAGTTTCCGCCCTGCGAGTCGGACAGGCCTGGATTATTAGATCAGATGTCGACGTTTTCCTCGTTTTTCGCCCCATTATCCGGCTCCCTTTGCTGACGTTTGAGCTTGCTCATCCGGAGTGCACCTTGATAGTGGAGGAACTTTCATTCGGGTCTTCGTCAACGTCGATGTGTCTGACAGAGGGCCATGTGAATCAGATTATGCGGTGAGGCCTAATTGATTGCTGTCTGCTCTAGATTTATGGCTGCAAGTGCCTTCCCTCTCAGGTCTCTTACGCCTTATGGCTTTACTGCCTTTCCCTCTCGTGCTGCTTTATAGCCCTCTCGAGCGGTCTGGATAAAATGTTTATGGCGCTTGGGCGCGTCTCTATTACGGGCATCCGGTGATTTACTTCCAATGATAATCTGGAGTCTTCACCTCAGACCGCTATTCTCGTACGGGAATGATTCCTGGAAATTAATTCACTGACCGAGACGGAGGAAAGTGAGTCTCGGCGAGGACCCCCCCTGTCGAGCTCGTTCGAGCAGGTACCGTCTTTCGAGAAGTTCAGGGGGGAGTTCAAGAATCAATGGTCGAAACTTTTCCAAACTCATACGGATCTCTTCGAAGCGGGTCGGTATCACCTCTCTGCTATTGTCCGAGCTCGCCGAATACTTGTATGGTCCAACTTCTTTTCCGAACAACTACCAATCGTTGCGCTTTGAAAGAGTCTAGTCATGCTCCACGGATGCCCCGAGAAAATCGGAGGAAATGCTTTTATCGAGCGAGCTCTTGATTGGAGAAGACAAAGGGAGGGTCTCGAATGAATACAATCCAAGTTTGAGGGGTTGTTGAATTTTATGCGAAATACTTTATTTCATCGTCAGGTGTTGTAAATCTATTTGTACACAACGTCCTTCCATATTTTAAGTTTCAGGCTCCTTTGACTCGCTTGCCTCCAATGAACGGTCCCTCCTTCTCCAGCGTCGTGTTTTTTTCGATCTCATCGCGATAATTTCCTGCTCGGGAGCTTCGAGTGTTCTCCATCGTCTTATTATTATGGTAATAATAATAATAATAATAATCATCATAGTCGTCGTTACGGAAATTCAATCACTGACATCATGGAATCCGCCGCTATACATCGAACTCCTTCCACACCCACGATGGGGTTCCCTCGTACTTGTCACTTTTTATCAACTTTTATGTGCCCATCCTCAATCAATCGCTCATATAGCAATCAATAGAATCCCAGTCAATCAACCAGTCAACTCATTCATATTCGTCTCATTTATTCCTGAATCCAATCTTTCATGCCTTTCCTTCCATACATCACTCCTGCTACGTGTTGAGATGACCGTATCGACATAATATGCACGTTCTGCCGCGTCAAGAATTTCTCCATGCATCCCCTCCATTTCACCTCCGTGAGAATCTTTGAGGGAAAGAACAGTCGATTGGGCTGTTTGTGTTGTGAAACAGAATTCGTTTAAATACTTGCTCTATGTCCTCCGGCGTCATGGTACAATCAACAAACGGCTAAGGCTTTCCCTCGTATCTGACACAGTAGGAAACGTCGTCGTCGTCGTGCTCATCTATATGTTCATCGAGTTCTTCATCAGCATGAGGCTTTTACTACGTAAAGTATGTGACTTCGCTCGACGATCTAATGGACTACGCAGGCTTCTTTTCACGGTGTCGTTTTTTTTCAGCAAAGTTCTTCTGCCGCGGCTGCCCTCCAGAACTGAAGGAGAGGCGGAGCTCCCCGCGCATGCGACCCAGAGGGAGTATAGTCCGACATGGGCGATCCCCCAGAGGGACCTATGCGTTCGGTTACCTCTGCTGTCTAATCTGTCCGCTTAGTACATTATATTTCTATCAGACAGCAAAAACGCATCCGAGATTTATAGATCTGCAACTCGGGGAGCTTTCTGGTCTTGGTCGATCCGGGAGACTCGAGCATCTCTCTGAGAATCGAGATCCGCGAAGCTGTGGTCAGACGGCTCAGCGTCTACTCCGGGAAGAATGTTTTGTTCCCCGGTGCCTGCGTGGTTCGAACGATTCCTCTGGGTAATTCATGGGGGTCTGACACTTGAATGATGTCTGAACGGTGAGCGCGTGAAGAATCACGTTCGTCTCGGTCATTCTGGCAATCTTTTCATGATTTATTTTTTACATTCCATGGAGGAAGATTCGCTCCAACAGTGGTGCGGACTCTCTCACTCCATTGTGTTGGACATCTCTTTTCCATATGCTCCACGTATGGGATTTCATTCTCATCAAATTGGAATTCATTTCTGTTCTCTCTATCCTCGCCCGCTGGTTGATTCGATAAGATACTCTGGATTATTCATTTTGTCTTCGACTACTCCTTTATTGGAGGAACATCGAGCGAAATTTACTTTCCAGTGTTGGTTTACCTATAATGTTAATATTAAGGTAATATTCCCCTATGGTATTTATATTATGTATATGTTCATAGATACAGCTTTATTGTAGGAGCGGTATCTTATTTTGCCATTTTTGACATCGTTGATGTTGATGAGGTTTGTGGGTGAGAGGGTAGGTGGGTGATTGGTAAGACGGTATTCGTTCATCGGAAGGAGCTCCCCACCTCAGAGAACCGTCCGGCAGAGCGTCGATCTCATCCGTTCCGATCTTCCCAATCGCGCCAGCTGGAATCGGGTCCCTTGTTTTTCAGCCCGTACAGACATCGATCGAACCGTTCCGTTGGTACCGAAACAGTAGAAGAGATTTTGGGACGATCGAATGATGCGAGGTCATACGATTGCAACCAGAGCACGAGTTCGCCATTCTGATCGCTCGATCCATAGACATCCGCTCTAATTCGAGGCTGAGCTCTCCTCCAGACTTTACGAAGTTTTTGGCTATCATCAAGCAGCATTCAAAGACGATCGAGGAGTCAAGATGACCATACTGAATGATCCGAGCTGAGGAAAGTAGAGCCCAGGCCGAGCAAACTCAGAAGCGAACGAGTCAGGAGTCCTGAACGTCAGCTCATCCTGCTGTTCACGAGCATTCGCGAGCGTTAGACGTCAGACGCGACGGAGGTGAAATTTAGATAATGGACTCGCGGTAGATTTCTGTCCCCACAGGAAATTAGGATGGTGACGAAAATTGCACAGCATCTATCTCGAATAGCCGGGACTCGAGCGCTAGGGGAAGATTTTACCCGACTATCTAAGCCGGACGTCTCAACTTGACTCCAGGATTCCGCATCAAACTCATCGTTTTTCAGCCTGATTCACGAGCGAGTAGCCAGCTCGCTTTGATCGTACGTAGCTCAAATGGATCTCGAGGGATACTCGCTGTCCCAGATGTGTTTTGTGCGTTGTACTTTCGTTTACACGACTTCGTTATCCCGATCGACGCTAGCTGACGGCTATATTGGGACTCGACCCCCGAAATTGTTGATCGACCGAGCACAGCTGCACTCGGATGGGGATAAGGTCGAGCTTGGGGGAAACGGGGTTATCGATGGGAATTCCTTTGTTTCAGTGGGATGGTCCCAGCCGAATCCCAAGGAGTCTCCCATGGACCCTGGCGATGAACGTTCCTGACACTCCGGACGAAACTTACGCGGCGTCCGTGGGCGAGTTCAAGCCCGACATGCGATTCAGCGAGCTACCACAAATTCGTGGATCGGCGGTGGAAAATCGCCTAATCATATTCCTCCTGTAGTGCGAGCTGTACTACTCCAAGGGGAATCGCGCTGTCACCGCAAGGATGCGAACGATCGAAGAATGGCGGAGAGTCGACTAAAGGATCCAGTCGATAAACCCCAGATCACTGCGTATCGGTGTTGTTCGCTCTCTAGCCTCGTCTCGCACACTCGTATCCGCGCCATTTCTCAAGCTGATGACTGAGAAGAATGCAGAATTCCTACGGTTCCTCTGTTACTTAGGTACTATGTCCTCGCTAAACTTCACCAGAATGCTTCGGTACGGCGGTCTGGATAGAGATCCGATTCTCGGCTCGCCTCTCTAATACTCCGAATGTCTTCCAGGACTCGAGTTCCCGTCCCAGAGAGGCTGTGCGAACCAAAGGACCGGGGCTACACTTAATATTTCATATTACTAGACCGGGATGATTTGAGTTGAATATCTCGTCGAAGAAAAATCGCCTGCTTGATGGCTCACTCGATTTCTCTCCTTGCTCCAGTATTCATCAGTTGGATTCGAATAACGTTGGGTTCCTTTCTTCTAATTCAAACAGCTTGCAATCAAAACGGTAATAATTGCGGTGGGCCTTGGTTCCAATTTTTGGGAGTCTGTTGATGCGCCTGAGGAGCGATTCCCATCACTGCAGCATTGCTCGATGAACCTCCCTGAAACGTAAGACAGGAGATAACGTGAGTCGTTGATCCAGGGGAATTCCCGACATGGTCACGACGAAACCGTGTCCGAGACTCTTGAACTTGAGGCGGAACTCGAGTAGGAAATGAAGCAGCTTGAGCGAAAGAAAGTGAAAGCTCCAGGGTTCACTTGCGATCTCAAGGCCTCCGACTGGGAATGGGATGCCATCGAAAAGAAACGTCTTCGGATCTACATCTGAAAATTGGTATCTCGGGTCGCCGGTCGGTCGTCCGACCGACCGACGGACCGCCCGGCATCAGACCTGCTTGCCTGTCGACCAGGCTGCTCGACTGACTTTTATCCAGCAACGACAGCAGCGAGAGACGGCGGCAGGCCCAACATTCACCCCTGGCGATGGACTTCGCCGCAAAACCTCTAAACCGCAGAAAGCCAAGAAGGCGAAAAAAGTCGAAGAGGCCTTTCTCTTTCGTTCCTGAGTCGAGATTCCTGCCATCCACCGACATTTCGGCGTTCGTCGAATTCCCCCGAAAAAGAGAGAGACAGCCACGAAAAAAAATAAATAAAGGGTTCCAAAACCACACGGAGCGAGAGAAACCCGGCTTTCGATACATCTGTCTGCTAGAATTGAACGTGAAACCCACCGAGGGCAGGAATGATTCAGACGCACTCAACCACCAGCCGAATGAGAACTGTGAAAATGTTTTGTATGGCTTCTAAGCTTCCGCGGATTTCAGCCGCAGACCATACAATCGCGGTATCCGAGGGCCCATTCACACGAATCACGCTCATTCGAACGTATTGTCCGAGCCCGAACGATGCTGACCATCGATCTGCGAAATTTCCTTCGATCAAATTATGGGCACGATGCAATGGGTACGATCCACGGGAGTTTCCGTGATGGTTCCGACGGAATTTCGGAATGGAAAAGACCACAGTGACATAAAATGATGCAGAAAAGAAACGGTACGAATGAGAGCTCCGTTCCATCGGGCAGCCAGATGACCCGTCCCGCGAGAAGTGGCAGAGAAAGTTCTGGTACCGGGGCGGGATCTCAGAGACGGAGAAAAGAATGAATAACTCGAACTGAAGAAGAGAAGAAGGATTGCCTGGCAATACGAGTCAGAACGACGGAGGGGATGTAATTAACATCGCCTTCCTTCTTCTGAGCGGGGAAATCCATCATAAAACAGCCGAAGAGCGAATCCTCAGCGATCCGACCGACGAATCAGCGGATGGAACAAACCGAGCAGCGAACAGCTAAATGCTGCTCCGAAGAAGGAACGATGCCGACGACGACGAGGAGGAGGCCAGAACGGCGAGCGGCCGCTCGGCTGGCAAGCATTGATATTTTTGGTCGTCCAGGATATTAATCATATTTCGCTGTCCATCCCGTTCTCTGGTTGGCTGTCTATGCGCATCGCTCCGCTAGTGCGCCGGCCCGCTGGGTAGCGAGCGAATCTTCAGTGAGTCTGTCAGTTGGCCAGTCAGTCTGTCAGCCAGTCAGTCAGTCAGTCCGGTGTCGTCGTCATCTTTCAAAGATAATTGCAGCCCTCATTCTAGCTGTGGCTGGCTCGATTATTCCTCCAACCAATTCCTTCCCTCGAGGGCCTCTTCAGCCAACCGAGTGGTTGGCTGGCGATCTGGCAGGTCTGTCGGGCGGTTGGCTGCTGCTAAGCTGACCCTCCAGGCATAATTACAACTCCGGAGCGAGCCCGAATCACAGCCCTCTCTTTGCCCCCATGCTTGTTTTGGTTTGGTCATGCTGAGACGCCGCGCCGCCGACGGTTGTAGCATTCCGGCAGAGCGGAGCAACAGCCTTAGCAGCAACAACATCAAGAATCAAGAACATCAAGGCAGGGAGAAAGAACGCCAAAACGACAGAGTTGCAGTCAGGGTCTTGACAGGAAAAATGTCCATCGTTTCTAACCGTGCTGCCTCTCCTGGATCAGTCGATACGTTGTTTCTCGGCGATAGCCGGTTAGCAAGCAGGGGTGGTACCTCGGAGTGAGGAAGCACGCGGACGATAGTCAAAGCTGCTCATGGACGTCCCATTGAACGTTTTTTTCTCCCGGGAGTCCCGCTTTTCCTGAGCTCACGTCGATGAATGCTTCGGTCATCCGCGCGACGTTCCATTCTCGATCAAAAAGGTTCGGTGCTCTGTTCTTCAGCGAAGGACGTGGAAGCAAGCGTCTAAACGTGAAAAATAGGACTCGCCCCCGCTCCCAGCGGGATGCGATTTTCGAAGGATTTTTGTCGAACGCTTGAGACACGCCGAAATGCATCATGTGTTTATGTACTGCGTGAGACAGCTGAGCGAGCCGGAGTAGAGGGAAATAGAGGGCACTGGCAGCCGACTGCGGCAGGGGAACCGTTGCCCGACGGCAAGACGGCTCCGAACACTTTTCGCCGGGAAATAAGAAGTGTCACCGAGGATCTTTTTCCTCATACCCAACAGCATCCATTCTCCCGTAGGCGCGCATATGCCGAATATAAACAAGGAACGAGCAGAGACAGGCTCCTGACGTTTTCTTCCAATGAAATGGGCATAAGGATCTTCCCGTCTGCAGCGGCCTGCACGGAACATTCTCCATGGCTTTGGGGGAGTGTGGAGACATGCATACGGAATGTCCTCCTCCGCCATGAGATGCTGCAAGCAGCAGTTCTTATCGGGTCGATCGCGCGACTTCTCCGTCTCACAGTATTCGGCGAATGACAGCTTCATTATGACAGCGGATCGCTATCGAAAATATGATCAGCATGAGCCATGGCTTTCCGATCGCATGTCTCTCTCTCTTACGGGAATTGATCTTGAGAAAATTGACTGTCCGAAAGTGTCACTCGGCAACCCGGATCCATTTATCAACATTAGCGGCTGCCGAATTCGCTGCATGCATATCAAATTATGGGCTTGAACCGGAGAAACTCACAAGATGGGACGGCGGCAGAGAAGAGTGCTGAGGAAGTCCCGCCGATCCCATAAGAGCCATTGGATGGCCTATCTGGGCTGGGACGGTATTCGCGAGCCGGTGTTCCTTCTTCCATTTCATGCGCCGATTCTGAAATAAACGCAAAAATAGAACTAGTTAGCACATTTTGAGCGCACGGCAGCCCACACGAGTTTCGGTGGCCGACACCTTGGATCGTGCAATCATCTTCCTGTACATATGTGCGCTTCCGAGAGAGGGGAAATCCAAAGACTTTCGCTGACTGAGATGACCGTCAAGTTTCGTAGCGTAAGGACGGAGCTAGGTTATGGTCCGCCGGTGAGTTTCGAGCGGCTCCACCGGGATAAACCAGCAAGGAGACGAACAATATTCCGGGAGAATGCTCATGACATAAGTATGAGGACTCGAGCGCTGCGATTCGCCGACTCTGTACACGGATCGAATGGGTCGTCGCTTGAGTAACTCGTTAGAATGGTTGAATGGTTCTGTTGGTAACTCCAATCGGCGATCGCAGGAAACCGCGACGACCCCGACCTATGTCAGGAACAGGCAGCCGATCATCAACTGTACCGCGACGGCACGGCTGCGCAATAGAAGCGGCCAGGGCGATAACAGCAGAGCCCCGAGCACACAATGCCATATAGGCCGTGACGGTATAACAACAGCTCTGCAGTCTCCAGGGGAGGTCCCCTGTGCGATGTTAAGCGTCTCTTGCTCGATGTCTAACTGTATGCCACGACTTAAAAGTCCGTAAGTCCAGGGTGTTGCTGGAGCCAAACTGGCATATGCGGAGCCAATCACTTTTTCGGACGGAACATGTTTCCAGATGGACTCCTCGCCGCCAAAGAGAATAAGTTCCCTCCGAGACAAGAGGAGATGACGGCCTACCCGAGCCTGAAGATGGTTAGCGTGGACGCCGAGTCCGCTCGGGAAACGAGCCAGACATTCCCTCACCTTACCCCAGGCTTGAGCATATAGTTCGATCTAAGATCATAATATATATATGTATGTACCTATGTATTTGCGCTCGGATCGTATATATGTCCGACCATGGCAGATGTGGATGAAAGTAGGGGGTTCCCTCATTTCAAAATTGGGCGCCCTTCTTCTGACTACCGAGAGCTCCGCCCACTTTTGGGAAGAGAAGCTGTGACCGAGCGGCAAGCAAGTGCTCCTGCCACTCAAGACTCCGCTGTATACACATACGCAAGCACGAACATATATATGTATGCGGGCATACATACATACACAGGCTCGGATATATATGGATATATATATATAACTTTGCATATGTACCTGGGCATGACCGACTGTCCTTTGGCTTGCTTAGCTTGGCCGCTTGTCGCACGAATGAACAACCGAGCTGTATATATGTCTTGTATGTATCTTTGTATGATTGTAACTATTTATATATGAATGTGTGCATGTGTAAAAAATAACATACATAAGTGTCCAGCCTGACAATGAGAGTTTCCGTGTCACTATCGCATTAAAGCTTGATGTTCCTCCCCTGCTATTCGACGGAGTCATGGAGCTTAAATGGCTAGTTACCGAAAGATAACAGTGGTGCGAAAACAGGTAAACACGGCGATGAGATTAGACGACGCGGTCCGAGACCTTCGGGTACGGTAGTATCTTATGGAGCGGACGCTACTAAATCTAGGTGTTTGTTTGCCCGGAACACAATGTTTCAAAGGCACCCCCCAAAGGCAGCTCAGAAAGCTTCTTCGTGTCGCTTCAGGACCAGGACGTCGAGGGGCAAAAGACTCCTGAGCCGTCTCCACTGAGCGCGCTCTCCACGGAGAAATGGCAGATGGAGCGAAATTCGCCGACTCAGATCGTTGCCATGGGGCCGTCGCGAGATATTGGCCCCCGTACAGAACGATGTAATCAACTATTCGGGTCTGCTTCTCGGCCGAAACCGCACTGTATTGTCAGCAAATACTCCATGAGCTCGCGAGACTCCGTATGTCCGCGTATATTCTACTAGGGACGCACATGTATGAAAAATGCGCATGCGGCAGGATTCACAGCATCGATCTCGGTTTCTGGCTCGAGGAAGGTGATGAGCCATCCACTCCCAGAGGATAAACGACGCGAAAAGCTAACGGCTGTTCCCTATTCTCAATGGCTGAGCAAACTCTTCCCGCATCTACTACTCGGTCTTCTCGGGGAGCTTTCTAATAATCACCAAAGTCATTATTGAGCGAAACCAACAAGACAACGCAGGATAAGAGAAGCAGAAGGGCTACAACGACCGAACGAAAGAATGAGAGAGCGGAGCAAGCAACGAGAGAACCAATCAGCGTCGGCTGCTCTCGGCGACTCCATGCGCGACGCTGTGTTCCAGCGAATAAATACTCCTGGCGAAGCTACAAACCGACTGGTCGTTCGTCGCTCACAGGGCTCGATTAGATTTCACTTGATCCCTGAGTGATCAGCGTCGCTACGACCGCGGCGGCCACGACAACGCAGATAGCGGACTCGGTGTGCTTGATGGATGCTTCTGGGAAACCCGCCATTATTTCGAAGTCGCTTGTCCTATTCGACTGACATCGCATGATTCGATTGTTATCTATTCGGGAACGGAAGCTCCGGAGCTGCTCCCCCGATGGGAAATCTATCCCCGAAAGTCGTCGGAGCCAGCATCGAGGGCCGCGGTGGCGAGGGTGAGCTCACCGGGAAGGCAAACGACGGATGAGCGAAAAAGCATCAGTCGACGTACAGACAAAGCCACCTACCATCGCCGACAGGAAGCAGCGTCGGGACGAAAAGGAGCGGACAAGTAGGAACCAAGCGGAGACCGAGAAGCGAAGGCGAGAGAGAAGCATGGACCCCATGCTATTCTTCGCGAAGACGACGTTCGCCAATTGGTCCCTTCGGGGGACTGCGGCTCGAGGTCTGTAGCTCTCTCCGACTGACTGATTGACAGTCGCCTCCTTCAGACTCGCCGACTCGCTCACTGAGAGCGCGAGAGGCTCAAAAAAGAGAGCAGAACTTGAGTGGAGGAGAAGAAAAGCCGGGGCTCCGAGCCGTGATTGAGACAACGATCGCTGAAGCTCCGCGCCCGATTCGTCGAGCCCAATGATTGTCTAGAAGTGGTGCGTCTCACGGGAAGGCGATTGTTCCGATCATCGGTTCCCGGGAGGCGGCGATGGGGTGCCAAAAAAATATGGTGTTCCAGTAGTCCGAACGTAGCGTACTTGATCAGAAAAGTCGCGATCTCTCTTCAATTCGGAATATATTGTATTGATCGATCGATACGCATGGATCAGTGAGGAAATCGCGACGCACCCCCTCGAAAACTCGGCGAGAGAAGAGGGAGGGACTTGGATGATTCATCCGATGACATGTTTGAGATCGAGACAACCAACCGAACAATCAAGCAAGCGAGCGACCGAGCGGGCACGGAACGATCTTCGGAGTAAGTAACCAGCTAACGGAGGGACGGGGACGGGAGCCTGCTATTGAGCAAGAGGAACCGGTGCTGCTGATGACATCGACGACGAAGATGAACAAGGGAACTCCAATCGAGCTTCGAGGCGAAGAACGCAGGATATTTTCCCTTGGATTCGACAAAACTTTCTCGGCATGATAAGCAGCTCGTTAGAAACTCGAAACTTAGTGAAACTCATTGCGGAAAAATAGCGTCTGATGCGACCCTTTAGAAGCACTTGGGCTCGAGTCCGACCATTCGACTTATAATCATCCGGCCGGTCTAGGCTGGTCTGTATCGAGTCTGTATTCAAAGGCCTCACTCGCTGAGGAGTCGGCTACTCAATGCGTCAGCTTCCAAGCTACAGCGTTCAATTCTGACTGCTCCATCGAAAACGGCAGAGGCTTCTACTTTCTACGATACGCAATTGACTCCTGCGAATGTCCGCGATCCGAGAGTCCGAGATGAGCGTCCGTGGTGGAGAGATTCCCGCATTTCTTCCCCCGTTTCATTCGTTCGAGGGGGGCCTCATTCGATTCGACAGCATGATTTAATTGAATGCGGTGAGTGCAAGTCCCCGAGAGCGGCGATTAGCGGATACTTCGCCGTGCAAAAGTTATAGCTCGCAGTCCGTGCGTCCTAGCGGAGCGAAGGAAGGAGACTCCTCTTATCCGATGTATGTATTATGTGAGATGATCCCGGGAGTATGGTTCTGACGAAGGGAAATTACCGGAGAACGCGAGAATCGATTGTCAAATTCGAATCGAATATCCAATGGTCACACCGCATCCATAAGCCCAGACATCTCTCACGATCCAGACTGAGCTCCAAGCTGGAGATACTGATACCGATCTCTGGATGTTCCGACGCTTAGTTCGGACATCGTGGTTCACCATATAGCCTCGGAAAAGGTTGCCTTGGGTGTCGGTAACGAACTCCGCTTCCTGGAGTATCTGGGAGGGCGGGAAGCGATCACGTAGCGTTCTCCGTCGATCACAGAATACTCGTGTGAGCATTGCTGATATAACAAATCGAAATGGCTCAATAGCTTGAACCATGCACGGTTCGATATCGGGCAGCAGAATATTTCGTGGTTTCTCTTCCTGGCGAGCGATTCGGGGTTCGACTGTCGAGCGAACCGCTGATGATGACGCATGTCATGCCGCAATCGGTGTGTTGAAAAAGCGCGAAGGACCGGACGAAGCGAACGAGCAAGCAAGCGAGCAAGCAAACAACCGGAAAGCGACACACGTGGGAGGGAAAAGGCGTGCTGTTCGTTCGTTCATTCGTCCGTTCGTTTGTCTGCACATCTGAATGCTCGCCTTTCTGAGAGTTGCCCGCTCGCTACGCACCATGCGGCTAGAGGAGTCTTGCGACTTGCGAAGCCCTCTTTCAGAAAACGTACTATTTACTACCATCATCATCATCATCAAGCTTTTTCCGAGGACACGAATGACCGACATGCTGGTCAAGCCTCGAAATTAATCATGAACCGATCGACTCTCGATCGTTGAGGGGAGCGCAGAGCTCCGTCATCTGAGTTGTAGGAGTCTTGAACCATATGAACTTCGTTCTTCGAACGCAATCGAAACCCTCGGAATTCAACGGCGCTCTTCGGATCGGCAGTGGTCCTACTAGCGATGTGTTCTCTCTTTCCGGACCCTCAGTCTTCTGCGGGCTGAATCCAAGTCGGTTACATTGACCGATGTCCGTCGCTTCGAGCTTGACGTGCGCGAACTTTTGATTTTTTCCTCCGTCTCCCACTCGGATGTACTCGTATGTTCGCTTCGGACCCTCGTCTGTTTGTGCTTTGGTGCGTTTTGCTTGCAGCTCTCTTTCGCTATTCTCCATAGCGTGCTAGACGACCATTTCGGACTCCACCCCCAGGAAGAAGGAAGGGAGG